TTATTGAACATAATTGAAGGTAAAGTGACTAGTTTTATGAGCGCCATCCAGCCTCTTAATACAGCAAACAAGCGTTAGTCTCTCTCTGTTTTCAGTGGAGGTAACATCTTGCTTGAGACTCTCTTCAACTAAACGCTTTTTTTCTGTGTTTCCAAGCAAATTATTGGTCATTTTGAAATTTATTTTACATATTGACAATACATAGCACAGTGCAGTGTTATTTTAAAGAAAATATTCTTTATTTACAGCAAGTTTATACAGTACCTATAAGATCACGTGTTGACATTGTTTGAATCCAGCATGGGGCCTAAGAGATCAAGAAAAGCGATTTCAATCCAAACCAAGCAGGAAATTATAAAAAAAACATGAACAAGGCATTAAAACAAATGCGCTATGCAAAGAATATGGCATGTCGACATCAACTGTGTCGACAATTCTTGCACAGAAAGACAAATTTAAAGAAGTGAAAGTGGGAGACAAATCTACCAGAGTGATTAAAAGTAGATCCCTAATTGCAGAAACAGAGAGGTTACTTCTCTTCTGGATTAGGGAAAAACAGATGATAGGTGTTCAGTTTCTACTGAATTTATTTGTGAAAGAGCCAGGGAGATTAACAAACATTTAAAGACAGATCAACCTGGTTCTTCAGGCACAGAATTTGAAGATTTTCAGGCCAGCAAAGGCTGGTTCGAAAAATTTAAGAAAAGAAGTGACATTTTCAGTGTTGTTAGGCATGGTGAAGCTGCTAGTGCTGATAAGGAAGGGGAAGCAAAGTTTTTAGTGGAATTTAAAGAACTGATGGAAGAAGAAAATTATCTTCCACAGCAAGTGATCAATGTGGACGAAACTGGGCTGTTCTGGAAAAAGATGCCCAAAAGAACATTCATCACCAGAGATGAAGCCTCTTTACCTGGGCATAAACCCATGAAAGACCGTCTCACTCTATTGCTTGGTGCCAATGCTTCAGGGGATTTCCGACTGAAGCCTATGCTTGTCTACCACTCTGAAAACCCCAGGGTGTTCAAGCAACAGAAAGTGGTAAGAACAAAGCTTGGAGTTTATTGGAAGTCCAACCGTAAGGCATGGGTGACAAGACAGCTCTTTAATGAATGGGCTGTTGAGGTGTTTTGCCCTTCTGTCAAGAGCTACCTAACCACCAATAAACTCCCTTTAAAGGCTCTTCTCCTCATGGATAATGCCCCTGGGCATGACCCTGAACTTGCCAGAACTTTGGAGTATCAATTTGACTTTGTGAAAGTGTTGTTTTTGCCTCCCAACACTACATCAATCATACAGTCAATGGACCAGAATGTGATCAGCAACTTCAAGAAGTTGTACATGAAGAAAATGTTTAGGAGGTGTCATCAGGCAACTTCCAATGATCCTGAACTAACACTGAAACAGTTCTGGAAGACACAATTCAACATCCTGGAGGCTGTAAAATTGATTGTGTCATCATGGCAAGAAGTCTCCACTAGATCCCTCAATTCTTCATGGAAAGCACTGTGACCATCAGTAGTCCATGATTTTGAGGAATTTGAGGAAGAAACAGAGTTGGACCAGGAGATTGTGTCCATTGGTCAGTCATTGGGCCTTGAAGTGGAAGAGGATGATGTCGAACAGCTTGTGATGTCTCATGAGGAGGAACTTACTCCTGATGACTTGAAACAACTGGATGAGATGTTACAGGTAGAGGCTGACAGTGGTGAGGAGGAAATTGAAAGTGATGACCATATGTCAGCTTAACAGTTGAAAGATGTGATTTACCACTGGGAGAAGTTCAGGGAACTGGCTTCAAAGCACCCAGAAGTGGAAAAAAATGAACTAACTTTGTGTCATGTTGAGGACTCAATGGTCTCCTTCTTTAAACATAAGTTAATGTTGAGGAGGAGAGATGCCCCACAGACCACAATTGACACTTTCTTCAGTAAAAGGCAGAGGGAACAAGATGCTATCCCTCTGCCTTCCACTTCAAGAAGGAGAGAGGATAATGCTAGCCCTCAGCCTTCCACTTCAAGAAGGAGAGAGGATAATGCTAGCCCTCAGCCTTCCACTTCAAGAAGGAGAGAGGATGTTCATGGTGGAGAATCTGTCAGTCCAGAGGTTCCTGACATTTTCATGGAAGGTGACTCACCTTCCAAGAAGCAGTAAAATGCTTCTCCTCCACCTCCACTTCCTTCTCTTCTCCCTTCTCCTCCTCCACCTCCCACTTCAAATTGACATCAGCATCATCATCCAGGAGCCTTCTACATACACACCTCAAGGTAAGTGTCCATTTCTAAATTTTTGTTGAATTTAGGCAATTTTCGGTGAGCTGGAACCAATTACCCAAAAACCCATTGAAACAATGGTTTCCGTTAACGAGATTTTCGGTTAACGAGCAACCTGCTGGAACGGATTGTGCTCGTTAACCGAGGGACCACTGTATATATAAAGAATCTCCCAAAACTTGCCAAAATAACTGCTGCTTGTAAAAGAAAATAATCAAAACACCTAGAACAGAAAAATATTAATGCTAGATTATGCCTCAGCATAGCAATATGTAAAAGAGGAAATATATATAGTAGTATATTTGTGCAGACCCACCATTATTCTTATTGTATATCAACAACATAAATGCAGCAGTCAGTTGTAAACTTTTGTTGTATACCAACGGTTCTGCATTAACAAATCAATCAATCAAAAGTACCATACTTATATTTAAGGCTTGACAACTTCAGCCCTCCATTTTAAATGTTTTCATTTCTGCTATTAACCCCTCATCCCTAATTTTATGATCAAAGTATTGCATTTTCCTTATTCTATAAATTTTAAAAGGAGGCTAAATAGATTCATGGATGAGAGAGAGTGTTAGTAACTCTCGACATGAGCTGCCATGCACAGGCCAACCGGCCTATTGCAGACTCCTTATTTTCTTGTGTTATCTTATGTTCTTAAGTACAGAATTTCTCATAAGTTCTGCCAACCTTGGGTAATTGTTGATTTGTTTTCCTATCAGTGTAACACCATGTTCCAAAGGCTTCTAACCTCTTTCTGGTGTCTGCTAAAAGTGTCCACACTTCTGACCCATACAGCAGTCCTGAGCATACATAGTACTGAATACCTGCAGCAACAAGTAAAACTTTTTTTTAAAATCCTCCATAATTTCACTGGCTTATGAGTAAATGTGATGCTTTAACCCTTTGACCGCACAAAGCGACTTTAGTCGCCTGACAGAACGAAACATTTCACCGCGCAAAGCGACATTACTCCAAAACCACAGGGGAAAATTCTGAATTTCCCGCGCGCGGCTAAGATCGTCCTGGGGTTAAAAATGCACCCTGTTTGTGCTGCCATCTGGTATCCGCTAGGCAAAACATATCCCAAGGACGCATTAGCTGACGCAACCACATGACTCACAGATTTCCAGATCCAGCGTAGCGTCATATATTTGTTCATCATTCACATAAATAATGTATTTTTTATTCTTTTATTATGGTGATAGGCAGTGTAAGTGTTTCAAGCATGTGAATATATATAACAGACCAATATGGATAAGCAAATAGTGGTGGTTATATGTAAAAATATGATCGCTATTTTTTCGTCAGTTTGTCGGTATAAAGATTTGCCAGAAAATTGTTTCAGCGGCATATATCTGTTCATAATCCACATAAAGAAGGTAATTTTTAATCTGTTATTATGGTGATAGGCAGTGTAAGTGTTTCAAGCATGAGAATATATATAAAAGACTGATATAGATAAGCAAATAGTGGTGGTTATATCTCATAATATGATCGCTGTTTTTCCGTCTGTTTGCCTGTATAAAGATTTGCTATAATATTGTTTCTGCATAACCCAGGCATTTTTGGCATAGTCCGGTGTCAAAATATGAATAAAGACCGTGTTATATATATTTGAGGAGTTATTATGTAACGAAATAGCCTGTATGTAGACAAAAATTGCGAAATAAGACAACTTTTCACTGTTCTTATCGCTTCCCATTTTCTGTGATATGCGAAATAAATTAATATTTTGCAGTAACTTATATATTTGTTATAACATACAGAATCCAACCAAAAAACTCGCCCAAAAGGAATATAGAAGGGAGGTTATTGTAGGCATGTTGGATGGGTACTCTCTCAAGGAATCAAAATGTCAGAGGAGGAATGTAGTACCTTTAGCCAGTAGATTGACAGAAAGGCATTTCATTTCTCAATGATCTATCATTCTGGAGGCAATTTTGGCAACATCTGAGTTCCTCAAACCACTTTACCTGAAGAAAACCTGAGATATATATATATTTTTTTTTACCTTTTTTCTGTAAAAACATGATTTTCCACTAGATAACAACATTTCTAAGGAATATAAATGCCATATATGGAAAGACCAAGTTTTTTTCATTATAGAAAAGCAATAAAAAAGCTCAAAACAGCACTTTCATTTTTTGGTGACTTAATGACACTTTCCGGGAACAACCTTGAAATCGGACGGCGCGGTCAAAGGGTTAAGTGGTTTGGTGGCTTAGTGAGTGGGGCATTTTAGCAGAGGGAGCCAGCACTATGGTATACTATAACCATATGACTTCTCACACATGGAATTATTGTGTCATCTTTAGAAAACTATTGTAGCACAAAATTACAATACAATATTTTATCTTTAATATTAGCAAATGCATCATAGCATGTGAGGTGTGTCACAGAAAATGGCGCCACACAGTGTGGACTCATGAAAGGGGAACTTGGGAGAATATTCTTGTGCTGAGGTAGACTACACTTTATAACATCATTTTATCAAAATATATTGTGATATTGATTTAATGAGGTGTTGATCAGATCCAGCTACCATGTATGGATACATTCTATTCCAGAATTAATGCATTTCTATACAGTATCTGCATAAAGGTCCTCACTGTAGTTGTACACTTCATCTATATCTATACCTATAATGTACTATACTGTACTGTACTTATGTTTCCAAACAGCTTCTGAATCTTCATCACATCTTGGCTTGGATAAACTTACTTTGTGGTACAGGATGAGGTAAGGAGGAAGTCCTGTCAACTGGAACCTCTTGAGAATACTTTCTTTGTAGGTCTGGTACTCCTTCCCAGTCTTCCCATCAAACTTGCTAAGCAATACATACAAGCTCACCTGTAACACAATATCTCTAGATTACCGATATGCAAATTTTATTTAATTAAAATTAGTTCATATACAGTATTACCCCTCTTTACGCGGTTTCACTTTCCGAGATTTCTCATATACGCGGTACCTCGCCAGAACCGGACTTTCACTTTCCACGGTGCATCTACTCAAATAGGCGGGTGAAGTATAATTTTTTATTTAGCTCATAAAATTCATACAAATTACCCGGCCAGAATATAATTTACATTGCTGGAATTCTTACAATACGATGATCATACAAATTTTAGATCTAATGTAATAATTTGGTTTACACAAAGCAACCTTTAGGATGGGAGATGAGCACTGTACCCAGTCTGCTGCTTCAACCCAAATATATAAGTATGTACTGTACCCAGTGTTGTACGTTGACACCATTAATTTAACGCCGTCAACTTTTTGTTAACGCTGACGCCATCACTTTTTTGGGCAGGTGACGTTACAGGTGACGCAGTCAACTTTTCACCCGACCGGAGAGTCAAGTGTCAATTTGTTCGTCAACTTCAATTCTTTTTTATTTTTCCAAGTTCGATTTTCAATTATCTTTTTATAAAGACGACCGACAAGGCCATGAGGGAGTTGTTCATCAAATACAACACCCCCATCCCCTCTAGTGCTGCCGAGGAGCGCATGTTCTCCATAGGCAAGGACATCTCGAGGCCCAAGTGCAGCAGAATGAGCGACAAGCATTTTGAGATGCTAGTATTCTTGCGGGGGAACAAATGAATAATTAAAATGATATAATATAAATCATAATAAATGATTAAAAATGAATTAATATTTTTTGATTTTCCATATGTTACTCCCATACACAGGAGAATACGCGTTTCGGGGTTGCATTTGTATGTCACTGAAAACTCGTTGACGCAAGGTGTTGACGCCGACGCTAACGGCATCAATTTATGAAATCGTTTCCGCCAACGCTGACAGCATCAAATTTCTCGGCCGATTACGCTGACTCTGGCGGCGCCACTTTTTTCGTTGACGAGTTCAACACTGACTGTACTGTAAAAGAGCCTTTAAATAAACTCACCAACATAGCACCATCCCACTGTTAACAAAAATGGTTTTGTAGTAGAATCTCCTTTATTTTTCTTTGATATAAATTGGTTGTGTAGGGAATGAAGATATGAGGGGTGTATGTGGAGTAGAAAAGAAATGGATGGATGAAACTGCACTATGATGGTGCAGGTGCATGGAGCATATAGCTGCAGTTGTTATAAATGTGAAGGGAAGACTAAGAAACAGATGGATTGGTCTTGGAGGTATATTGTTGAGGGCAAGAGGTGGTATGTTAGAAATACAAGAATAATGTCTGTGGATCATGTGTGGTATTGGTTCATCTTTGCTTCTTGACACAGTGTACGTACTAAAATGCAGCTTTAAAACAAAAACAGATTTCAGTGATTTATTTGCACACTTTGTTTATAGGTTCAGGATCTGAGGAAGTGTGAAGATTAATTCCTATGTGTTTCAGTAAAGTATTGTATCTCCCTTTGGCCTTCTAGTTCATACACTCCTTTCCTTTTGTCTCATTATATTACAATAATAATGTTTTCCTTACCTGAGGGATGATGTTTTCTTTTTTCTCATCCTTGAAGAGAGGAGGCTGTGGTAGGTCACAGGTTAGATAAAGGAAGGGGCTCTCCTCCATCTTGACCTGATACTCTTCTGATTGCAAGAGTCGATTACGTTCTTTCTCATCTATTTCCACAGGCAGGATCTAGTTGGACAAAAAAAAAAAATACCCGTAGTATAATCTTTTTCATACAAAATTACAGACAGAACCTAGTAAGATCAACAGTGGATATATTTTTACACTGAGAGAGACATAAGGGACCCTCTTGTTACACTAACCCTCTCATTTCTTTCTTTCAAAAGCTGGAGATGTATTCTACTGTTTCCTGGATGTCCATCCCCCTAACTTATGGTGCTTCCTTTACTCAATTCCTTCCATCTCCTTTTTCATTTTCTATCCCTTCTACCATTTTCCTGAAATACGTAGTTATCTGTTTACCAAACTTTTGTTTTACATTCTCTCAATATAACCATACAAAGTCACCAAACTCTGGTTTTGTAATTAATAAATTTTTCTCATAGGCGGGTTTTATATACAGGGAGTTTTACCACTAGACAGAGGCAAGTAAGGAAGAGTGGTAAGAGGAATGGTGCTGTGCACCAAGTGAGCAGGTGTGGCTGAGTCACCCCCCACGACATAAAGAGAAACATGGCGTTTAAGCTATGCTGAATGGACGAGTTGACGGTCAAAAATTTTTCATAAGATGGCAGGTCAATAGGTATAGAAAACGCTTAAATTCACTATGGTAATGATATTTTTAAATAAATTGGGCCAAAAAGCATAAAATAATAACGGTTAAAGTTGCTAAAAAGTCACGTGACTGTGAAAAGCTTTGTGATTGGTTGTGACGTCACTGGTTGGGGCAAGCTTCCCAGCGTGATGGAGGCAGCCAGTTGCAGTTGTTCAACCTTCTAGCCTGATCGGCTCTGTAAATAATTATTAGATAATTAATTGTGCTTTACTGTGCAACACAGTAATACTATTTTGAATGTATAAATATTACTAAGCACATAAACTAATTCAATGGATATTAGCTGCCCCTACAACAAATTTCATAGTACTTGTATAAACATTCCAAACAAATTGGTATTACTTTGGTTTTGGTCATCTGGGGAACCGTAAGATTCTAACTATGGGATTAAGTACTTTAAACAATAAAACACATAATGTTTACAGGATTTCTGTCACAAAACAATTTTTGATCGCATAAGAAAATACAGATCATATGTTAGATTAGGTTAGGGTATGATGAGTTATAAGGTTAGCATAACATACACCGGTAAAGGGGGGTAGTAACTCAAAACTGGTGATTTCCGATAGAAATGAAGGTCTAAATCGTTCATAACACATCGAAAACCATCAGAAAAAAACATAAGTCTAAATGACCAAAACTTAAAATTTACCCAATATAGCCTATCTCGAATCTAAACATCCAAATACTATGGTATTTAAAATAAAATTTTACCCATGATATATCCCAGTGGTTCATAAGCAAATCATCAAAACAATAACAGCACTATGTTGTCATGTTAACTAACACCAGGCGTTCTCAGAACAAAGTCCAGACAATGTCATTACAGGTTGTACCTCTCTAGTCCGGCATTCGGTGGTCGGGAAACTCCCGTGGTCCGGAACGATTTTAGTTTGTCCAATAGGTAGATAGGCAGCATTTTTTTTTTTTTTTTACTTATCTGAATTATTATTATTATTACAGGAGTATTAAATTTTTGCCCCTCAGGCCCCAATGTGGGTCGGTGACCTATGCCCGGGTGGGCTAATCCCCGTAAAAAAAACAACAAAAAGCCGCGGGAAATTAAGGTTTGTTTACATCCGGCAGTTCGGCTGCTCTCTCTCTCTCTCTCTCTGCTTGTCTATACAGAGTACAACATTTAACCCTTCAATATATATGAGCAGTAAATAAGTGTTGCTTTCATATTCTTATGTAGAGTAATGACGATATGTTTTCACATGTGCGCACTTACATACGCGCACTCACTTTTTTTTTACCATTAATGGTTAGCTACTTATATTGTTCCATTTATTAACATTAAATAACATTACAGGTACTTCAAACAACCATATTAATTTTTTTTACATTAATTTTACTACAGCTACAATCAGGGTCTTATTTTCTTCAGTTTTATACAGTTAACCCTCACTTTACGCGGTTAATGTAACCCGGAGGGTACCGCGGAAAGTGAGAAACGCGTAAAGTGAATAACATAACATATGGGATTAATTGAAATGGAGTCCGGGCCGATCCCCAAACTCCACTTTTTGACGACACACAACTATGTTGTAGTAAAAATATTATCTTAACTTTATGATGGTATGCACACACAATTAATAATTAAGAGAAATATCAATAATATTAGATTTTTTAACACTTACATTAGTAGAAAAAATGGCTGGGCACACGGGGATGGGCGGTTGGTTCCGAGGCAGAGGGCAGATTATTGGCCCTCACCTGTGTCACTTGTATCAATTGTATCACTATCCACCACAGAGGCTTGCAGGGCCTCTTTGTCAAACTCCCCAAAGTCCATATAAGTCCATATCCTCACCATAATTATCACTATCACTGACTTGGGCCGGCTGTGGTGGGTGGGGGGTGAAGAACTGGTAATGTTTTGATGACTGGGCGACCTTGTGCGCACCATGTTCGCGCAGCTTACACAACATAGCGGATGGCGGGAGGTTTGGATCCAAAAATGGCGCGGCTCGCCAGCCGCTCTCCGCGTAAAGGGGTACACGCACCGCGGAATGTGAGCATCCTGGGTTCCGGCAGGGCACCGCGTAAACGTGGAAACGCGGAATGTGGGACCGCGTAAACGTGGAAACGCGGAATGTGGGACCGCGTAAAGTGAGGGTTAACTGTATGTAGAACCAATCAGTCACTGGTTTTGTAAGCTTTAACATAAACAATGCCGGCAGCCGTCTCGTCTCCTCATTATTAATAAATTGTATTGTTAATTTTGCACACACAAACATTAATTCAATAAAAACAAATTCAGAAACATTAATTAAAATATATATGAACAGTAAATAAGTGTTGCTTTCATATTCTTATGTAAAGTAATGACGATATGTTTTCACGTGTACGCACTTACATACGCGATCTCTCTTTTTTTTTTACCTTTATCGTTAGCTACTTCTAGTGTTCCATTTATTAACATTAAATAACATTACTTAAAACAACCATATTAATTTTACTACAGCTACAACCAAGTTTTTATTTTCTTCAGTTTTATATGTAGAACCAGTCAGTCATTGGTTTTGTAATCAACGAAAACAATGCTGTCTCATTTCCTCGTGTTTTAATATTCTACGTATTATTAATGAATTGTATTGCTCATTTTGCACACATAAACATTAATTCCATCAAACAGACTTTCAGTAATAAACAATAAGCAATCTTTTGTACATAAGAGAAATGACGCTGTTTACACGATTGTGCACGTCGTCTGAACGTTGGTGGGCCGTTTAAACCCGTCGAAATTCAAGTTTCCGCTGTCAAAATTTTTAAACATGTTGTTTTTTGTGTGTGTTCAAATAGAAAACATCAAATTAAAAACTCGCGAAATTTGAGAAGCTACTGTACGACATTTAACCCTTCAATATGTCTTCAAAGAGACCATGAAGCAGAGAAAGTGGTGCTAGTGCTTCCAAGCCAAGTCACTATCTATCCAGGAAAAGGGTGAATTTCCATGGTCCGGCACTGGTCAGGTCCCGAGGTTGCCGGACTAGAGAGGTACAACCTGTATATATGGTACATGCAATACCATTAATTTTAAGAGAAATAGGAGAGAAATACAGTCACAAGTTAATGTCCATTCAAATAATGGACTCAACTCTGCCCTCCTGGGCTACTGGTTAATTGCCGCTGGTCCCTCTTCTGAGAAATTTTGGGAAACCACTAAATCTTTTAATAAATAATACTCAAACTAAGTTAGATAATACACTGACATTGCTGACCTTGAAGATTGAGAATATTTGAATATAATAATACATATTTGGTAATAAAAGATAAATATACTTACTCAGATTAAAAATTATTTATCTAAAATTTGTATGTTCAATGCAAAATATATGATGTTTATATTCAAATGATCACCAAATAGTAAAGAATTCCAGCAATGTAAATTATATTCTGACCGGGTAATTTGTATGATTTATGAGTCAAACAAATATCTCATTAATAAAAAAAAATAACCTCAGACACCATCTGTCAATCAAAGTACCCCACCTTTGCCTTCCTTCAATCCCGTCAGTCCCAACCTCTACCCCCACCAATCAGTCCTTCAAGAGAGGGTGAAAAATAAATTTTAACATTTTGTATTAAATAATACCTCAGATTAAAGTTAGATAATATAATTGACATTGCTGATTCCTGAAGATTAGGAATGTTTTAGTTTATAAATGTCATATATTTGCACAAAAGATAATATACGACTAGATTAAAATCATTTGTAGCCTATGTCTAATGCAAATATATGATGTTGAGACCAAATGATCAATAAATTATAAGAATTCCAGCAATGTAAATTACATTCTGACCGCAATTTAGGCGAATTTATGAAAGCGAAACAAATATCTTCAGTTAATAAAAAAAAATATTTTCACGGGTAAATGATGGTCGGTCGTCCTCCTCCCCACCAACCGCCCCAAGGAGATGTGAAAACAGAATACTTAACTTTTTTTTTTTGTAATAAATAATACCTCAAACTAAAGTTAGATAATATAATTGGATATTGCTGGATTCTCAGGATCAGAATATTTTGAATATAAGTCATATATTTGCATAAAGATAAATATATTTACTCAAGGCAACATTTTATTCAAATTTGCATAATCTAATGCAAAATATATGATGTTTATATTCAAAATGATCACCAAATTAGTAAGAATTCCAGCAATGTAAATTATATTCTGGCCGTAATTTGTATGAATTTATGAGCTAAACAGGCAGTCAGGCAGGGTATGGTGGGGCAATTCAAAAATAAAGGCTCGAGTCGGACACTCACTGCCAGCATAGCGATGAAAACTGTGGTTAAGTGAAAAGTTCAGCTCTGGCTAGGCAATCACAGATATGATAAAACGCT